AATCGCGATTAGAGCCTTAATTAAGGAGATAAATCGATTTAAATGTTTGGAAAGTACACCGGCCGATATATAAAGGATTTTGGAATATTTTATACTGGGAAATTTGGGTATGAAAATTTCGAGCATCTGAACACCCCCCAAATCGCGATTAGAGCCTTAATTAAGGAGATAAATCGATTTAAAGGTTTGGAAAGTCCACCAGCCGATATATAAAAGATTTTGGAATATTTTATACTGGGAAATTTGGGTATGAAAATTTAGAGCATCTGAACACCCCCCAAATCGCGATTAGAGCCTTAATTAAGGAGATAAATCGATTTAAAGGTTTGGAAAGTCCACCAGCCGATATATAAAAGATTTTGGAATATTTTATGCTGGGAAATTTAGGATTTTGAAAATTTCGAGCATCTGAACACCCCCCAAATCGCGATTAGAGCCTTAATTAAGGAGATAAATCGATTTAAAGGTTTGGAAAGTCCACCGGCCGATATATAAAGGATTTTGGAATATTTTATACTGGGAAATTTGGGTATGAAAATTTCGAGCATCTGAACACCCCCCAAATCGCGATTAGAGCCTTAATTAAGGAGATAAATCGATTTAAAGGTTTGAGAAGTCCACCGGCCGATATATAAAAGATTTTGGAATATTTTATACAGGGAAATTTGGGTATGAAAATTTCGAGCATCTGAACACCCCCCAAATCGCGATTAGAGCCTTAATTAAGGAGATAAATCGATTTAAAGGTTTGGAAAGTCCACGGGCCGATATATAAAAGATTTTGGAATATTTTATACTGGGAAATTTGGGTATGAAAATTTCGAGCATCTGAACACCCCCCAAATCGCGATTAGAGCCTTAATTAAGGAGATAAATCGATTTAAAGGTTTGGAAAGTCCACGGGCCGATATATAAAGGATTTTGGAATATTTTATACTGGGAAATTTGGGTATGAAAATTTAGAGCATCTGAACACCCCCAAATCGCGATTAGAGCCTTAATTAAGGAGATAAATCGATTTAAAGGTTTGGAAAGTCCACCGGCCGATATATAAAGGATTTTGGAATATTTTATACTGGGAAATTTGGGTATGAAAATTTCGAGCATCTGAACACCCCCCAAATCGCGATTAGAGCCTTAATTAAGGAGATAAATCGATTTAAAGGTTTGGAAAGTACACCGGCCGATATATAAAAGATTTTGGAATATTTTATACTGGGAAATTTGGGTATGAAAATTTCGAGCATCTGAACACCCCCCAAATCGCGATTAGAGCCTTAATTAAGGAGATAAATCGATTTAAAGGTTTGGAAAGTCCACGGGCCGATATATAAAAGATTTTGGAATATTTTATACTGGGAAATTTGGGTATGAAAATTTCGAGCATCTGAACACCCCCCAAATCGCGATTAGAGCCTTAATTAAGGAGATAAATCGATTTAAAGGTTTGGAAAGTACACCGGCCGATATATAAAGGATTTTGGAATATTTTATACTGGGAAATTTGGGTATGAAAATTTCGAGCATCTGAACACCCCCCAAATCGCGATTAGAGCCTTAATTAAGGAGATCAATCGATTTAAATGTTTGGAAAGTACACCGGCCGATATATAAAGGATTTTGGAATATTTTATACTGGGAAATTTGGGTATGAAAATTTCGAGCATCTGAACACCCCCCAAATCGCGATTAGAGCCTTAATTAAGGAGATAAATCGATTTAAAGGTTTGGAAAGTCCACCGGCCGATATATAAAGGATTTTGGAATATTTTATACTGGGAAATTTGGGTATGAAAATTTAGAGCATCTGAACACCCCCCAAATCGCGATTAGAGCCTTAATTAAGGAGATAAATCGATTTAAAGGTTTGGAAAGTCCACCAGCCGATATATAAAAGATTTTGGAATATTTTATACTGGGAAATTTGGGTATGAAAATTTCGAGCATCTGAACACCCCCCAAATCGCGATTAGAGCCTTAATTAAGGAGATAAATCGATTTAAAGGTTTGGAAAGTCCACGGGCCGATATATAAAAGATTTTGGAATATTTTATACTGGGAAATTTGGGTATGAAAATTTCGAGCATCTGAACACCCCCCAAATCGCGATTAGAGCCTTAATTAAGGAGATAAATCGATTTAAAGGTTTGGAAAGTCCACGGGCCGATATATAAAGGATTTTGGAATATTTTATACTGGGAAATTTGGGTATGAAAATTTAGAGCATCTGAACACCCCCCAAATCGCGATTAGAGCCTTAATTAAGGAGATAAATCGATTTAAAGGTTTGGAAAGTCCACGGGCCGATATATAAAGGATTTTGGAATATTTTATACTGGGAAATTTGGGTATGAAAATTTCGAGCATCTGAACACCCCCCAAATCGCGATTAGAGCCTTAATTAAGGAGATAAATCGATTTAAAGGTTTGGAAAGTACACCGGCCGATATATAAAAGATTTTGGAATATTTTATACTGGGAAATTTGGGTATGAAAATTTCGAGCATCTGAACACCCCCCAAATCGCGATTAGAGCCTTAATTAAGGAGATAAATCGATTTAAAGGTTTGAGAAGTCCACCGGCCGATATATAAAAGATTTTGGAATATTTTATACAGGGAAATTTGGGTATGAAAATTTCGAGCATCTGAACACCCCCCAAATCGCGATTAGAGCCTTAATTAAGGAGATAAATCGATTTAAAGGTTTGGAAAGTCCACGGGCCGATATATAAAAGATTTTGGAATATTTTATACTGGGAAATTTGGGTATGAAAATTTAGAGCATCTGAACACCCCCCAAATCGCGATTAGAGCCTTAATTAAGGAGATAAATCGATTTAAAGGTTTGGAAAGTACACCGGCCGATATATAAAAGATTTTGGAATATTTTATACTGGGAAATTTGGGTATGAAAATTTCGAGCATCTGAACACCCCTCAAATCGCGATTAGAGCCTTAATTAAGGAGATAAATCGATTTAAAGGTTTGGAAAGTCCACGGGCCGATATATAAAGGATTTTGGAATATTTTATACTGGGAAATTTGGGTATGAAAATTTCGAGCATCTGAACACCCCCCAAATCGCGATTAGAGCCTTAATTAAGGAGATAAATCGATTTAAAGGTTTGGAAAGTCCACCGGCCGATATATAAAGGATTTTGGAATATTTTATACTGGGAAATTTGGGTATGAAAATTTCGAGCATCTGAACACCCCCCAAATCGCGATTAGAGCCTTAATTAAGGAGATAAATCGATTTAAAGGTTTGGAAAGTACACCGGCCGATATATAAAAGATTTTGGAATATTTTATACTGGGAAATTTGGGTATGAAAATTTCGAGCATCTGAACACCCCCCAAATCGCGATTAGAGCCTTAATTAAGGAGATAAATCGATTTAAAGGTTTGGAAAGTCCACGGGCCGATATATAAAAGATTTTGGAATATTTTATACTGGGAAATTTGGGTATGAAAATTTCGAGCATCTGAACACCCCCCAAATCGCGATTAGAGCCTTAATTAAGGAGATAAATCGATTTAAAGGTTTGGAAAGTACACCGGCCGATATATAAAAGATTTTGGAATATTTTATACTGGGAAATTTGGGTATGAAAATTTCGAGCATCTGAACACCCCCCAAATCGCGATTAGAGCCTTAATTAAGGAGATAAATCGATTTAAAGGTTTGGAAAGTCCACGGGCCGATATATAAAAGATTTTGGAATATTTTATACTGGGAAATTTGGGTATGAAAATTTCGAGCATCTGAACACCCCCCAAATCGCGATTAGAGCCTTAATTAAGGAGATAAATCGATTTTAAGGTTTGGAAAGTCCACGGGCCGATATATAAAAGATTTTGGAATATTTTATACTGATATGTGGATGGTTTGAGGCGGCATCTGAACTATCATTCTTATAGAAAAGATTTTGATAAAAATCTCGTGCATTTCACCTGCATGAAAGGTGGGTGCAAAATGAGTTACAGGAAGTTCTCTAACCTAAAACAGCACATCATCACAAAACATCCTCTTCCGGCACATCTCGATCCAAGCCACTCAAAGTTAAACGCACCAACTATCGAAAAAGAACGAGAAGCATTAGATGAAAATGGTATCAGTGATCTTTGCACCGATCCCGAGGAATCTGGAACGTCAAAATCTGGAACTCTTCATTTGGAATATTTGCGCCAGTTTGCTGCTATTTCTGTGTGTCGTCTGAAAGCTGACGTTTCCTTAACAGACACGAAAGTTTCCCAGATCATAACCTTCTGTCAAGCGATAGTGGACCAAATAAACGGATATATATCTCAAACGGTGGAAACATTTATGGACCAATACACAGCTCACATCGATTCACAGCAAGTTGTCCAATTGCAAAACAGCTTACTAATAGACAACATTTTCAAAGATGTTTCTACACCTACGAAGCAACGAGCCTTCCTTAGCAAAACAGTTGGGACGATTCCGGAACTAAGGACAATTATGCTGAAAGAACGGGAAGGAACACGTTTCGTAAAAGGAAAAGAAGCCACCGTTAAGGTAATAGTATCTTTTTATGTGTAAGGCAAAATACTTATTTTTCCGTTATTTATCAGGTTCAAGATACGTTTCAATACATCCCAATTATAGAATCGTTGAAAATGATTCTAAGATGTGCTGAAAATCGTACTGCAATGGTAAATCAAATAGCAGCTTACAGTGTATCTAACGCACCTACAATATATGAAAGCTTTACTGACGGAAACTCCTTTAGGAACAGTGCATTTTTTGAAACACACCCGGATGCTCTTAGAATAATTATTTATGAGGACGATGTTGAGCCATGTAACGCATTGAGCTCAAGATGCGGTAATAAAAAGATCGCAGCTTTATATTTTAAAGTTCAGAACTTGCCAAGACAATTTAATTCTTCAACAAAATATGTATTTTCGTTGATATACGGAAAGTCAACAGATGCCAAGCGGTACGGTTACAATAGAATTCTAGAACCACTCGTCGAGGATCTGAAAAAGCTAGAAAATGGTGTAAAGGTTTACTTTGGCCAAGAGGAATACTTAATGCGAGGAGCGATAATTGTAATAGCTGGGGATACACTAGCGGTTCATGAGCTGTTTGGTTTGCTGGGACCTTCCGCCAATATGTTTTGTCGAGAGTGTACAATATCTAGAAATGAATTTCATTAACATCCCGTCATGAATACGTACGCACTACGTGACGAACAGTGGTATAAGGAGAATCTAAATCGACTTCGAAAAAAGAAAATAACATCAACAGAGTGTGGATTGAAGCCCGCAGGATGCATCTTAAACGACCTTCAGGAATTCCATATAACAAAAAACCATTCATTCGACACGATGCATGATCTGGCTGAAGGAGTGATACCGATAACGATTCAATTGGTTCTTTCTCGATACTACAAAAATAAGAAGCTTGGATTTACTGTTGATTTTATCAACCATCGACTTGCAACATTCAATTATGGCTACCGTGATAGAAAAAATAAGCCATCGTCCAACATTACTGCTCAAATGCTTCTTCAACCTAAATCTCATCGAATGAGACAAACGGCGTCTCAATATCTACTTTTTCTAAGAGCTTTCCCGTTCCTTTTCAATCATAAAGTACCACATGATTGTCCATATATGACTCTCATAAGTTGCCTCATCAATATAACTCGTATATCGTTTTCACCAACAGTCCCAGATTTTCTAATAGCGGAACTTGAAATTGGAATCACAATGTTTTATAAAATGTATTTTGATTTATTTAAACGTCGTCCAAACAAATTACATCATCTCTATCACTACCCAGACTGCATTAAAGAAATTGGACCGTTGCAACAATATGATTGTCGTGTTTTTGAAGCAAAAAACAAAAATATAAAAATACAGATGAACGCTGCAAAAAATATCAAAAATGTATGCCTCAGTTTAGCTAAACGACAACTGTTTGCGCAAGCTATTAGCATCGCAGAACGTCCGTTCAAAGATTGTTTGACTTACCAATCTGGAAAAATGTTTTTAATCAAGAATATGAAATCAGCTCCCTTGTTGATTTTCAATTCAGAGGACCGATGTTTTTCTCCCAAAGAAATGGTATTCAATGGAGTTCAATTCTGGACTAATTGTGTTGTATCAGTCAAGGATACCAACCTAAATGGGCTCCCTACTTTCGGAGAAGTACGAGAAATTGTCGTGATAGATGACAAAGCCAAGATTCCACTGATATTGTGGGAAACAATTGATTTTGATGATGTGCTGCAGGCGTACCAAGTTGAAAATACAAAGCAAGAAATGTTAGTTTCTCTGGAAAACATACATAGTCACACTACTTTTGCATTTTGGAAAACATATACACCCCATTACATATCGAAAAGAATATATAACAACGATTATTTATAACAGTTGCTAAGTTATCAACTACTGAAAAAATACAAATTTTAACAGTTCACGAAGAAATCGTCGACGTAGAAACGTTTTCGCTGCTGGATGAGACTGATTTCAATCGTTTGAACCTAAACACTGGACAGAGGAAAAAAAATCAAAAAATTCAAGCTGAAATTATCAGCAATTCAAAAAATACTACAAAGGAATCTATCAAAAATGAACTTTATGAGGAATATGAATACATCGAGCAAGAGGACGAACTGGGCGTTTCATTGGAAAAGGTAAACTAATTTATGATTATAGAACAGTTGCTGTATAACGTTTCAATATTCTTTATTTTTTAGGAATTTGATATTGACTGTGTGTTCCAACAGACACCAGAAGGCCGCAATATTATCGAACTGTTGAAGGAACAAAATTCGATCAACAGCAAATTGATCAAAGCGATCACAACCGTCCTGCCCGAGTAGCACACTTTCATCACAATAAGTTACAGCAACTTTTTTATGACTGAAATAAGTCGTATATAAGTTTCTACAATTGATTTGTGACAAGCGTGCTACTAGGGTGAGCGAATACCTTATCAATAGGTTTGGGTAGTAAGTTAATTTTAATTAAGCTTAATCGTAGATTGTAACGTGTAACGTATGGTATTTTAGTGTGCGACAAATAGTCCCTTCATGTGTTGATAATGCGGTAAAGATGCGATTTGAAATCTTTTTGAACAAAATTGGGAATAGAATTACTATTTTTGTTTGACCTATGCTTCTATGATTGTCCTATGTCCTTCCTATGCTTCCACAAAACATACAAATTTGAAATTGCTACTCCTTGTTTGCTGTGCTACTACAAACAGAGAGTAGCAATTTCAAATTTGTATGTTTTGTGGAAGATGACATTTGTGCCTTTGAAGTTTCACGCTAAGGCTTCCTTAGAGTATCACCACTTAAATGCCATTCATGATTGTCAACACAAGTACACTGAAGCTACTTTACAACACTATAAGACACAGGAATTCGCCGAAGAGCGCGGTGGGTAATGCAGATCACTCATTACTATTGGTCGGCTGTCCATCAAACTGATTTCTAGTGCTGACCTAAGAGGAAGAGGAGACAACTGGCTTCTTACTCTTTTATCTCTATCTCTATCTCTATCTTACGCACTTCAAATCGGCCAATCACGAGCTGGTTCGCGTTTTACAGAAAAGTGGTTCGTTTTCGCCCCCGTATTGTCTCCTCTTCTCTTAGGTGCTGACTAGTTTATGTGATTCAAACTGGTTATATACACACACAAATCAACTCAATAGATTAAAGCTGATAACTAGCAGTGGGTAGACTACAACTCCTCCCACTCTCTTCGGGTGATTCCTGTTTCATAAGTGCACGTCGGCCTTGAAAACATAACACGGCAGGGAAAAATTAAAATCACAATTAACGAAAACTAATTACAATAAGTGTTACTGTATTATGTACTTTTGGCCTATGAAAAGTTGATAGGCCCTTTTCAAATGTTACGCGAAATTTTATTAATAGATTTTTTGCTTGCTTTGCTTATTCATAGCCATCCAAGTGCACATCATAAAAATGTTGTGGCACTATCCCTGGTTAATAAATATGATGTTTTGAAATCGAACAGCGCAGCTATGCCGCAGGTACGTTAACTTTTTTTATAATATATCCATAATCATGTGTGTGTTTATTTACATTTATGTTTAGGCCTTATGGTTCTATCCGCATGGACGAGGCCATGGTAGACATAGTGGCAAGTTGCACTACCATATTGAGTACATGGTGAAGAAATTTGAGAAGCAGATTCGTCGAACAAAGGAGGAGAATGCTGATTCTGCAAAAGCACACAACGCTGCCAACGATGATTTAACCGGAGATGGATTGGTTGATATGGTAAAATTTCTTGCAGGTAATATTCTAAATATTCAATATAAAGTTTTCCGTTTTTTTCAGATTACTAAACTGAAGTTTATTGTACCATCAGAAGCGTCGTTCGAGGTAATCAAAACCGACTGGATGAAAACAGTTGAAGCTCGAAATGTATTGCGAAAAAAGGACAAATCAGAAGATTTGGCAGACAAGATGACTGACATGTTTCCACTGTCAACTGCATTCAATGGACTATTGGTATTAATGCAACTATTACTTTGTAACAACTTCATTCTAAGTTAACTGTTCATATATTTTTTTAGATAAACTTGGATTTCACGCAGATGTTTCCTGAAACTATCGAAAATAGCAGCAACTGGAGTCTGCTGCAAGATAAAGTTCTAACAAAATTCAAACACTTCCACCCTACTGTAAACACTCGTAAGAAATATTTAATTGTTCGACATGTTCCACTAAAATTTACACCAGGTTTATTACAGAATTTATTCGATCATTGCTAATTATTAAAGAAAAGAATCCATCCCGTGGAGCAAAACGGGCTAACAAAGGTTCACAAAAAATATCCAACCTACTAGAAGGGATTGTCGAGTGGATAAAAAAAATGTATGTGACTATTAATGAAAGTTGTTGATATAATGTTTAATACGAATTTTTACTGTTTTTAGCCGGAGGATGACATCAATCAGTATGTCGTGGGCTATCGGAGCACCAAAAATCCTGTGATGATCGTCAAAGCACAGTTGTACGCTGAGGGCGAGTGTTATATCCGCATCGGAAAACGATTTTTTTCGGTAGGGTCCGAAATTGAGCAAGCGTTTACCACATTGATCAAAACGCACTATTTTTTTAGCTACAAATTTGAACCAGCACATGCGAATTTTTTCTCTCTTTTTACGGGAGCTATTTTAAACGTGGCCAAACCATCAACTACTGTAACTGATTTTCTCGTTCAGTTGAAGTAAACTTATATTGTTGTATTATATGGTTAAGTTTGTTACTTGTACATGTATTTGTATTCGCTTTCGTTTTTTAAACAATACTTGTTTTTTTTTTCAAAGATTTAACAAGATATATTAAACATGATTTGATAGATCGATAATCAGTATTTAAGGAAATTTCTTCAGACATGTGCCGTAAATGTATACATCAAACAAAGTTTAAATAATATTACATCTCTTGATTGTATGTCCGCATGTCCGAAGAAGTATCTTCAATCTTATATTTTTTATTTATTTTTATCCCAAATCTTTTTGGTTAATGTTGTGCTGAAAGTTCAGCAGTGTCATAAAATTGCTGGAAATACAGCAAATAAATTTAATTGTGGGTTTACTGATCGTTCAGCAAACCAAACTCCAGTTTGCTGAAACTACAGTTAAGTGCTGTCAGTTTCATGAAATTTAGTTTTGCTGGAAAAACAGCAACATTTATTTTGCTGGACGGATTGCTGGTTTTACAGTTCGGCAAAATCCAGCAAAATGTTGCTGGTTTCCAGCAAAAAAAAAATAGTGTGTAGATTATAATGTGCGTGGGCTTGGGTATACATCAAGCTGAACATTGCATTAGGTCCTAAGTAACATTGATCGATTCTCTTCGTCTACTTTCTCTTTCGTTAATTCGTTAATAACATGTGCACATAACAGTTTCTTGTTGTGTTTGTCGTATCACATGCTAGATGTAAGTTTATTTTATCGATATGTGTGCTGAAAATACCTGGTAATGTCTGAAGATGGCCGTGGGGGTACAAAGAGAAAGTCGAAGAAGAGAATCTGTCAATGTTACTTAGGACCTAACGCATTATTCAGCTTGATTTAAACAGTTGAATGACGACGATAAGCGTTGATGACAAACGAGAAGAGTGCGCTTGACTTGAGTTAATTGGGGTAGTGGTTATTTCTCACCCCAGGGAGCCTGGGTTCAATCCCAGTCGGCGCCGCCGGGATGTTCTGAGGCATACCACCCGTTAGTCCCCGGCAGGCATGAAAAATCATTTGCATTAATTTCGGGCATTAATTTACATTCATTTGCCTCTAACTTTTTTCTTGAACAGCATTCCGCAAAATGATGTATAGAGCTTTTGTAGGTTTTGTTATTAACTACAACAATTCAACAATTAAAACTCGTATCTCTTATGCATGACGAACCAGAGTGAACAGACACTACGGTTTTTCAGTGAATGTATTTTACATTCACTGAAAAACAGTAACAAGTTCTGCCCGCTCTAGTTCGTGATGCATGAGAGATACAGATTTTAATTATGACCAAATTTTGTTGCTAATAACAAAACCTACAAAAGTTCTATACATCATTTTGCGGAATGCTATTGATGAAAAAAGTTAGAGGCAAATGAATGTAAATCAATGTATGAAATGAATGCAAATGATTTTCCATGCCTAGTCCCCGATTCATGAGTTGATGGGTCGAAGGGTAGGGTCCAGGTGTGGGAGCTGCCTCCCTGGCGTCGGTAGCATTAATTGGTGCTCAGCACGGAAAACAAGATCGACGGAAAACAAATCAAGGAAAAAAGAGAGTTAATCAGTTGCGAATAATGAATGGGATCAGTTCAAGCTTGATCGGATTTCAGAATTACCGTCAACTCTCATATCACTAAGAACAAAAGTCGCAATAATGAGATAAATATGACTCGTTTTATTATCCGAGTCCATTATTGCGAACGGGAAGTTAACCATAACCAGCGTGATTTATGTCCATCGTCTCCCGCCCTGTGCTCTGTGGGGGTGAAAACGATGAACTCCATGGCAAGATAACCATTAATCCATCCTAATCATCGAACTTATCACTGCTGCGTGGTTGGACATCATCATCCCGAAATAGTATAGTTTATTGTTACGTTTGTCCACCCGGGCCAAAGACTGCTTCTTCTGGTTGCACATTTCTACGAGTAAATTAAGAAAAATGGTAAAGAAAGCCTTTAGATTTTGCTGCCGGAATGAGAGCAGCAATATTTGAAGACTGAGAAGATTTTCGACCCTTGTATGGAATCCAAATGTGGTTTATCGGTTATACATTATATACCTACATCATATATTTGTCAAAACATTCTTCTAGCGACACACTGTAACACGTTCCGCAAAGGTCTAGTTTCGTTCAGTATACAGCAAAAAGAGCAAAATTTCTCGGAAGGACTAATCATTTAAACAGAGAATCTTCTGGGACAGTCTTAAAGCCTAAAAGTATGAGAGGTGGTATAAACTGGTATGTTGAAATGTATATTTGTTCGACGTTTATAACGCTATGGTACAAAGTTATGTGGGAGAGTGACTGTACCTATTAGTAAATGGATTGGAAAAGTAATTCTAATCAAGCAGATAACCTATGCCTGTCAAAATTTGCATCGGTTTCTTATGATTTGTTGCTGTTTCATTTGTATGCAAGGTAGGCGACGATTGTGTAACCACCGCCGAAACTGTGAATCGCTATACGTGAGTTTCACGGAGAAATACACTGGAGTCGCTTTTTACGCGGTTTTTTTTACACGGTTTTTTTTACGCGGTTTTTTTTTACGCGGATTTCGGAATTCACGCGGTTTTTTTTTACGCGGATTCCGGAATTTACGCGGTTTTTTTTTACGCGGATTTCAGAATTTACGCGGTATATCGCTTTTTACGCGGTTTTTTCTTACACGGTCTTTTTTTACTCGGTTTTTTTTACGCGGATTTCGGAATTTACGCGGTTTTTTTTTACGCGGATTCCGGAATTTAAGCGGTTTTTTTTACGCGGTTTTTTTTTTACGCGGGACGTATCACCCGCGTAAAAAGCGACTCCAGTGTAATCCTGAAACAGTCGCTCAGGTCCTCTGTTGATATTCGGTTTTTTACCAGGCCGAGATGCTCCAGTTCGTTTTTTCTCGTCTTCTTCCACAGTCCTTTAACAACAGTTCATGTGACTGGTAAAGATAATGCTGTACAACTTCAATGTCTTCCTCGTCAATTAAAAGATGGAATCAGCTGCAATTAACTGCACATTGATTGACCAATCAAAATTAAATATTACAACAATATGACGATGATCTTCGTGGTTATTTTGTTTTGGGTTTTAGCAACCCACGGTGGATAGGCATTTACTCTAGTCGCTAAACAGAAACCAACATGAATCACCGGCGGAATAATGGGGTGCTGAGCTAAAATAGCTACCTAGGTGGAACCTTATTATAGGGATAGAGATAGCGCCTCCCATGGCGGTGCTCTTACGCATTTATGTTTGCTGCGAATTACGTACCTATTCATTCTTGCCATTTCGACCTACACAACTGACGCGCCATCCATGCAACGACCATTAGCCCATTTTCTCGCGAACCGAGCCGATAATGACTGGGACATAATTCAAGCTAATCATTGCATTAGGTCCTGAGTAGAGTCGGTGTATAATGAGTCACGCCAAGAGTGAAGCCAAGTCTACCTATTGAACTGTCAAACCGGCTACCTATCGAGCAAAGTAAACAAACATTACGATGCTATGAAAGGTCCACGAAAGGTATTGCAATAAAATATAAAATATAATCGAAGAAATTATCATAAATACGCAGTGAGCATTAACTTGTCATGGGATACGTTTAGTAATGACCAGTAATGAGAATTTCTACTATTTTTTGTTAAGATAATTTGACAAAATCACAGATATAATGATTTACTACAGCCGCTATTTTTATTTATGGCTAGAAGTCATTTGAAGTTGATGTAGAAGTCCTCTGTTGCCAAGTGAAAGGAAAGAGAATCTTTCGAAAACCGTGATGCGAGTTAAACTGTTTTTCTCTTGGCGTGACTCATTATACACCGACTCTAGTCCTGAGTAACATTGACAGATTCTCTTTCGTTAATAACTTCAGCACATAACCGTTTCTTGTTGTGTTTGTCGTATTAGATACCATGGAATGTCTTTACATGGCCGTGGGGATACAAAAAGAAAGTCGATGTAGAGAATCTGTCAATGTTACTACGGACCTAATGCAATATTCATTAGCCATTTTCGTGAGTACATTTGCATCAAAGAGAGTCGTTCCGAGAACAGCTAAATACAACCTACCTTTGAAAGGAAAATTATTCTAGCCCACCAAGGTGGTCATTCTCTTAACAGGCCTGATAGGACTAGGAACTGTAATTAATGGGCAACTAACCATCACTCGATTTGCTTTTGCTTCTTCTTCTTGTATTCCTAAATCATCACTTTCTACAAGTATTGGTAAAATTCGTTGGTAGCATGCGTCGCCGTGCCAAAACAGTCAATGAATCATAAATATCAACTGGTATGGTGAGCAAAATCTACCATCTCTTTTATTACTTTACTTTTCAATACAACAGAAAATGTGACGTCGCACATGCACGTGTATAAGAATGTCTTAGACAAAACATTCACACTGCCAGACATTTTGTTGACTGCTAGAGGTAATACATCTGGCAACGCTTGTTCAATGATTTTTTTACGTTCGCTAGCAAAGAAGTGGATTCGAATTGATTTTCTTGGTGTTTTATTTTGTTCACCAAGAGATTTGACCTCCAGTTTATATTGATTTTGTGTATTCGATTACGTGAAATTGTGGAATGCCTCGAAGAACACAAGTAAGTAAATGCAGTGATGGTGTTTTAACCAGAAAGTACACGATGTAAAATCATGAAATACTTGCTTTAAATTTTCGGATGGCTTGTGTGTGAATTTTTTTTTATCTAGTTCGTTTATTTGGAAGGCTCAATCGCGTTAGCTTTACGGAGCCGATAATTCATTGTTCACTGTGTGTAACAAAATTCACTTAATTCTATGTCTAGTAGGAGTTGGGCCGATTACTCGCGGCTTACTCGAGGTTAGAAGGGTACATTTTCGAAGGATAGGATCAGGGGAGGAGCTTGGGGTAGGGTTTCGTTGTCTCATCAGAGCGTTGTCGCCAGTATGAACGGTAGTGCTGTTCTAGCTTCGTCCGGAGTTCGACCGGCTATGGTGGGTGACCAGTGGG